TGATGTTATGGGATGCAGGTGTCTAATGCTACAGCTGCGTATCGGTAATGATAGCTGAAATGTGAGAATAAACACAGGTTTTCTTCTTCAGGTGATAATGAGGGAGAGAGATTTGAATCTGTGAAATCGTAATAATGTTTGATTTTTCACTGCTTAAATGGAAAATGCTTCATGAGATACATCTCTAATTAGAGTGATTTGATTTTTGTTTTGCCAGTTCTGTAACATTTTCTTTCACCAGACTAGCCTGTCTCATTATATCTGACACCGAGTGACCTCGTGCATTGCCCCTAAGGCAGCGCAGCTTGCAACACGATATGGTGAACCCTGGAAACAAGAACGCAGCCCACAGCGATGGAGCTCTGAGCGCAAACCCTCATTACTGGAGAAGTATCTCCAGCATCTGTTTTAGTTATGAAGACAAATTAAAGGTTAAGCTTGGTGCACGGCACAGATGATCAGCTCAGTTTAGCACTAGATAAATCTTAGTCTAAAAGCACTTTTTTCTAAAAGTATTGTATTAAAAAAAAAGAAAAGACTGTATGCTGAAAACGGAGCCTGGTTGAATGGCATTTTGCTCTCCCCAGATGACAGCAATAGCCTAGGGTGGATTATGGCTAAGTGGGGTCTATCCCTCTCATTTTGTTAAAGATGTAGCCTCTCCACATTCAGGTCCTGGCTTCCTCATGCTTCTGCATCCTGTTTGACCCATTGCTAAGCCACCCTCCTCAGACCACCAAGACTGATGTCCGAGGTCCTCCTTATCAGTTAAGGAGGACTGAACAATATGGGAGCCCTTCTGAAATCACAACCTATGGTCCCCGTTTTTTATTGATCCTGTGTAAAGTGTGGACCCAGACTCAAGAAACAATAAGGAAAAATAAAACGATGCTTTATGCATGTGGATTCTGTTTTGGAGACCTGTGATATCATCCATATTGTGCCCCTTCGGAGGTGTTGTGTCAAATAATATCTCTGGCAGGTGCTGTGACAGGCGCAGAGCCATATTTAGCTGTAGGTTATGCCAGCATCATTCATGCAGAATAAATAATTCTCTGATAACAATATCTGCGTCGACAGCAGTGAAATCAGCGAGTTACTTTGGATTTGCATGGGTATAACTGAGAGCAGAATCTGGCCCGTGCTCTGTAAAGGAAAGGCCACTAGATTCCAAGAGAAAACTGTGGTTATAAAACCATTTCCCTCTATCCTTGCAGTCAACAGGAAACCAGAGCAAAGTCTGCACAACAGAAATGTGCATTTCAGAGAGCTCAGCTCCCAGAAAGCATGGGGCTTTCCATGAGAGGGCCTGGTTTATCTAACAGCTCTTAGCTTTCAGATTCCCAGAGGCACTGGTGAACAGATTCTCTGCTGCTTTTTGTCTTGCTTTGTCCATGAGGTATGGACTGTAGGAAGAGACAGTGCTTTGGAAGAAGGAACATAGCATTTACCCTCCAGCTTCGACTCTTTGTGTTGTTTTCCAGGGGATTGTTACTCTTTGCTGGGAGTTTTTTGAAGTCGGTGGTCTTTCTAGATTCTTGCCTTCTTTTTACCCTACCCATAGCATGCAGCACTCAGGGGAAGATTAATCACACCCTGGGCAGGAGGCTTCTGGGTCCCCATCTGTCTTGCAGCTGGCTGACTCAAGCTTGAGGAGTCTCTTCCAAATAAAGGATCAGCAACTCAGGTTTCTGTCCTCTTGCCCGCACTGATTTAGATGGGAAAGTCACAGCTCAGACACTGGGCTGCTGGAAGAAAGTGTCTGGGAATCTGGAGGAAGGGAAAACATTGGCAGAAACCTTTTCTTTCCACCATAGCTGAGCTCCTGCAAAAGCAGGAGATCTAAACACAGGCAAACAGCCCCCCTGCCAGCACCCAGCTGGTTGGAGCAGGACACCAGCACTCAAAAAAGCACTGCTTATTGCTGCTTTTATTGCTCCCTAGCACAGGCTAGGCATGATGCAGGCATGAAGTCATTCTCTGAGTGTGGGGTTGAGTTACAAGCACAACACTTTGCGGCTGGGCAGCTGACTCCCCTGACATCTGACAATGTCTCAGACAAGGGTGTGAACTAAATAGTGGGCTGAGCAGAAACACTTGCTCTCTGGGGTGACCTGTGAAACCACAGCGTTGTTCCTGCAACCCATTTTGTCAACCTCTGGTCAACAGAAAAATGGAGACCCAGTTCTCTGACAACCCTGGGTGCATTGGCTTATTCCTACACATATTGGGCTTGTCTACATGTGGACCTTTAAGCAGGATTAGCTTAAAATCACCATTTTGAGGCACATTGAGTACATGTCCACACATGTGCACCCTTAATGTGCCTTCAAAATGGTGATTTTAGGCTAATCCTGCCTAAATTTGAAACCTGCTTAAAGCAAGTACCAAATTTTGGCTCGATTAGCTAAGTCACGTTAGCCCATGTGTAGACGCTTAATGCGCATTAACGTGGTGTGCACATTAGCATGGCTACATGTGGGCTAATGTGACTTAGCTATGTGAGCCTAAATTTAGTGCATCTTAATGTGCATTAGCGTGTCTACATGTAGACACGTGCCTAAATTGCCTTAACACGCCTTAAGCAAGGGCACATTAAGTTTAGGCATGCATAACTACATGTGTAGACATGCCCACTGCTTCCCAGTTATGGTCACTCTTGGAGTTACACTGGAACAGGGGTGTGCTCCCAAGAGATGCAGTGGGTAGATGCCAAGCTGGACTAGGACAGGGTGGGATTAATGGAAGGACTGCTTGGGGGACAGGGTCTGGCCCTGGCCTGTCCCACCTGCCAGTACCCTTGAAGCTGGAGGTAATGAATAAACAACAAGTAGGTCTAAGATTGGGGTTTGTCTGAAAGGGGGGGGGTGGGTTGAGTTGTGGCAGAAAGGACCCAGAAGGGGTCTGAGAAACTCTGAGTGTGATTTCTAAGGGGAAGCCAAGTCTGGTAAGAAACCTGGGGCTGGAGCTCATGTTGTCTTGTCCATGTATGCATTGATGAAGTTGTGCCCCAAGGTGGGTTTTGACCCCATACAGGCTGTGTATGGCACATGCCTCAGAACAAGTAAGAGAGGGACCCGCTCACCAGGAACCACATCTCAAGTATTCCAATGTTCAGAGGTGGCTTTGGACTAAAAGTGCCCTCTCAGCTCCAAAAACCATAAAACAGGAGACTTTGAAGTAACATTTAAAAATAAACCCTGTTCCTGTTGCTGTCTATGGAGGTTTTCCATTGATTTCTGTAGGTTGGATATAGTCCACTGTAACTATTTTCAACATGCAAAAGATTTGAGGGGTGATTTCTGTAACCATGAAATACAATCAAGCAAAACACAGGGGTATATTTCAAGAGTGCTAGTTTCCTATTTATCTCTGAACTTGATCCATGAATCCTTATTTTCAAATATTTTTCTTTTCTACATGGAGACATTGCTCTTAGTAATGTCCGTCTCTGACATTCGTCTGAGTGGAAGTCCAGGCATGGCATTGAAATTGCAATGCTTGGGCAAAATGTCATATCATGCTACCACCCTGTCATTTAGGCTGGAATACCATAACGAGGTTCGGTTCATTGCAATTTTCTGCGTTATATGTGAAGACGTGTCATCCCTATTATTTCTGGCACACTGCACATGGAATACAAAGAATAAATCTGGTTTGACAAGGTGATTCGTTTCAAGGATAATTAGCTAGGAACTCTCCATTTGGAAAATAACAGGGAAGCTGGCCTGGTGTTTACGATGCCAGAGTATATGAAGAGCAACCTGCATTTCACTTTCATTACTGCATGTTAAACCAGTGACCTTTTTGTCTTCAGCAAAAGTCTCCCCCTGAAAGTTAACGTAGGAGTTAGCCAAGTCAGAAGGGAATGCACAGATTTCACTGTGCCTTCTAGCCAGCGTGCAATGGTCTTCAAACTGGTATTTACTGGTAAATAGAAGCCCATATTGCCCCATACCAAAGTGGTGAGAGGGCCAGAGTGGGGTGGAAGAGAATACAGATGTGAGAGAGTGCCACATCTGGGTTGTACAATGCCTTGTTTCTGGGGAAGCTGCAGAAACTCCCCTGCAGCTGCTTCCTAGAAGTCTGCTTCTATGATGCTGTGGGTGGGAGGAGGTTTGGGGAACTGTATCTTCCCTGAGGAGTGCCTGGGTATTCTGGCAGAAGCCACATCCAACTTAATGCTGCTTCCAGACTTAGGCTCACACAGTCACCCACAGAGATGGGAGTCAATGGATTTCTAACTTTGCCTTTCCTTGTGGAATGTGTGTTCAAAAGCGTAATGGCCTGGGGAGGGAGAGACACTCGCAGGGTGCGTGACAGGACGTACTAACTGCATGTTATCATGAACATCAAGCGGTATTGTTGATGAGGCTAACATTGATTTTTGGATTTGCTCCTGTCAGTACTTACCCCTGGGTCAATAAATCTTGGTCACATCAAGGGAATATCCTGCCATCTGCTACCTCTTTAGTATTGTCCTTCTGTCTTCACTGCTCGTTATCACTGCAAACTCTTTTCTGACGTGCCAGCCTGAATAGAGGTGTCTGGAACAAATGGAACAGATGAGGCTTTCATAGATTAGGCAGTGGAAAGGTGGGTATATTCTGCAGATGCTGTGACCTCAGTATGGCATAAGACAGATGAGCAATGATACCAGGGGAATGGATGCAGACAGATATACAGCCATGAAAAAGGAAGTAGGTTTTCTGCAGCCAAGAGTCTCTAGGTCAACTTGCCCTTCTTATGCCAGAGAACCTGATCTCCATTTTAGTCCAAACTGCACCTATCCCCAATTCTCTCCCTTGTTATTGACTGATTATCCCTGGGAAAATCCATACCACCACTGGTGTGTTCTCTGCAGTAGTGCATGTAGCCACCTTTTGTACTAACCATTGTCAGAGTTTTGTCTCACTCACAGGAACTTTGCTCTTGGATTTTCATTTTGCCTTTATTTTTCTCTGCCCCCACCTCATTTTTCTTCTTATTTTTCTTTTTAGCAAAGTCCTGGGAAGGATCAACCTCAACAGCTGCTGCTACGTTAGCTCCACCATCTCCAGCTAAAACTACTAGTGGTATCACTCTAAGTATGTGTCTTTCTAGCAGAGAATATTGTAAATGCTAAAGTACTCATCATTTATATATATATGATATATACTATATTTATATAGTATATATATGATCTTTGTGTATATATATATGACATATATGATCTCTCTCTCTATATATGACATATATGATCTATATATATATAGATCATATATGTCATATATATATACAGATCATATATGTCATATATATATACACAAAGATCATATATATATATTTATATAGTATATATATGATCTTTGTGTGTGTGTGTATATATATATATATATATATATGCACATGCACACACACACGTTATATCCATGATGATTTAGACTCTTTAAATTTCTGTTTATTGTAGTTTTATCTAAAAATAGCTATAATTCTAACTAGATCAAAAGAAAAAGTGAGATGCTGAATCTGGTCCAGATGTGTATGAATGGACACCAGGGTAAATTAGAGAAACATGTTGGTAAATTGGGTCCTATGTCGAATATTGTGTTTTTTCAGATGACCTAGCTAGCTTCCTTCCCTTCAAATGAATCTTTGGCATCCTTCATAAGGGATGTGTCACCACGACAAAGATTTCCACAAGGTGACACAAGTGTATTTCCTATAGGCTAGGACAGTCTTCAGTGGAAAAAGTCCCTGCCTATGTGTTGAAAGACCCTCAGTTGGTCTCGGCTGGTGCAATTTAGCCTAATCCCATTGGAACCTGGGCCTTACAACAACAGCACAGGATCACTCCAGTTTTATGCTGTCAGTCCACTTAAATCACTGGAGTGACGCAGGGGGAAAACTGGATTGACACAGCCCTGAATCAGCAAGTAGGAAACATAAGTAAGCTAGCTAGATATCAACCAGAGACTGGATGTATGCAGTATTTGTGTTTGCTCAGGAACCTTCACAGTGAAATCTTCCATTCATTTTTGCCTGAAATCCTAAGTGTAAATCCATTCCTAAGTGTTTATTACCTGCAGAAGACTCATTGTAGCATCATGAGTTTGCTCTCCCTTAATAAGATGTCTTAGTTACAGGTGGCCTCATCTTGTGAGGTGCTGACCAGCTTCTGGAGTTGACTTCAGCTACAGCTGCAGGTGCTCAGCACCTCACAGAATTGAGCCCCAAAGAAGGATCTCTTTATCTCAGCTAAGTGTGTCTATCTTTATATTTGAATTATAATATATGTTAAAATGTTTAGCTTTCACTGCTTCCATGGGAGGTATGACAACTGAAAACAAAGCCACGTGTGCCCCTGAATACACTACGAAGAAGACAAGCTCTGCGTCCTTAACTACTGCTGTAACACAGGCACCAGAGACCATGCCAGCAACTAAACCCAGAGGGACCACACAGGCACTTGTATCTCTGCTCACAACAACAACCAAGGTTACTGTTTTGGTGTCGGAGACTACACTTTCACTGACCACAGCTTCACCCAGACCTGATGAGACTGATCCCACCTCGAAACCTGATGGGATACAAACTTCTGTGACTGCCTCACCTATAAAAACTACTAGTACTATACCTGTTTCCAGATCAATGGTGACATCCAAGCCCTCTGAGTTTACATTTGTATCTACACCTGACCTATCCACGGCAGGTCATAAACTAGGTAATAAAAGTACAGAATTTGTGTAAACAGTTCTGTAGGTAAGGAGTAGTGCTCTGCACAGAATACCATGCTTCAAGTTGAGTCATATAGCCAAACACTGAGGGAAACACATCTTTGAACCAAAAAATATTCTGCTTGGTGTTGGTAGGGGCTCAGTTATAGTACTGTGTCTGGTTTTTGGCATTGCATGTGGATTTACATGAGCTTAAATTTACTGCGCAGTAAGTTACTGTTCAGTAAGCAGGAATAGGCTACGTGTGCAGGTGTTAAGGTGCATTAATGCTGTGTGTGGACTGGCTTGGGACGAAAGTTAGTCACAAGTCAGTCTACACACACAGTATTACTGCACAGTAAGGCATCTACATATGCGCTGCTGTGCGGTAATTAATTGGGCATAAATTTGATACCTGCATGATGCAGGTATCAAATTTACACTGAAGCTGGCATAAGGCACTATATTTGCTGTGCAGTATGGGTGTGCACATGTAGATGTGAACCTGTACTGCTCAGTAATTTTGGTTACTGCACAGTAAATGTGAATGTGTAGATGCTCCTAAGGGTGTCATCGATTGGAGAGAGTCTGGAGCAGAGCGGCAAGAATGATAAAAGACTAGAAAGAATATGAGAAAGATTGAAGGAATTGGGTTTGTTTAGTCTAGAAAAGAGAAGTTTAGAGGAACACATGAGAGCGGTCTTCCTATTTGTAAAAAAGGATAGTGGTCAGTCATTCTCCATGCCCAGCCTGGGGAGAACAAGAGGACATTGGCTTAATTTGCAGCATAGATTTATGTTAGATGTGAAGAAAAACTTTCTAACTATAAGGACAGTTAAGGACTGGATGAGGTTATCTAGGAGGTTATTCCACTGAGGTTTTTGGGAACAAATATTTACAAATGTCTGTCAGGGATGGTCCAGGCACACTTGATCCTGCCCTTTAATGGTCTTGGCACCCCTGTCTTTCTTGATTCCATGAGCTGTAGAGCCAGCAGTTTTGTGAAACATTGCTCAGCCAGCAAGAGCATTGCTTAAAATGAATGGAAATGTTATTTACAATGATTAAATTAAATCTATAAATGAATCAATTAAACAGGGACATAAAATAGATTCTCTAGCTTGATTTTTGGGTGTGTGATTTTTATATCGCTTCTCGGTCTCTTGTAGGTTAGACCTAGCCTACAAATTGCTAAAAGCTCTGCCTGCATTGTTTTCCATGTAAATTCATTGCTGATGCAAATTGGCAAGCATGTCTATATTAGTAGATACCTGTCTAGCTACCTGTTAGTCTAAACCAGGTATTTAGACTCTAATTAGTAATATTTCCAGCTGCAGCTCACTGCTGGCACAAAAATAGCTGCTGCAGGTATCTGCAGATAATTATCTGGCTGTTGCTTCCAGCCATGTACATTTATACAAAGACTATTCAAGGAATCCTAGGCTATGTTTAGTACACAACGTTTTGCTGGGATTAAATATTTCTCCTAGAAAAGCAATTTAAGTAGTTCCCTGTTACACATTAGCCAGAAGGCCAAATAACTACTGCATATCTCAGAACAAGATTGAGCTTTATGATCATGTGCAAAAAAAGGAAGAGATACCATTTGTCTTTTCAGCGTCACAAAAGCAGAACAAGCAATCATTTTATATCTACCTTTCTGACTCTTTTCTGTTAATTAAACCTGTGTGAAAAGATTATTTTTGTGTTATTGTAACACGCAGGGACCCCTCAAGGCCCTAGTCATGGTACAAATATGCTAGGTACAGTAGAATAAAAACTCCTGACCCAAAGCCGCAAAGTTGAAGGCCCCGATCCTACAGTGAGCAGTCAGCAGGCAGACCCTGGCAAAAGTCAGGGATCTGAGTACTGGAGGAAGAGGGGAGGGGGATTGGGTTGTAAAGAGGAACTGCAGAACCAGGCACCCAACTTCTCTTGACGGTGGCACAGATCAGGTGCCTCCAAAATGACCAAAAACAACACTAGAAGATGAAGTATGTGAGGATATAGAGACCAGGAACACAAGCTTTTTTTGTGTGTGTGCTGACTAGCGTTTTCCATTATTGCAGTTACCTTCTACAACATTCAGGTGAACTTTTCTGCTACCCATGAACCCCAGAGACCCCCTGATTATTATGATGTAAGGAACCGTACTGAAACCTGGGTAAGTAGGTTTGACTTTCCTTTCCTTCTGTATACCCGATAGAGGATAAGGACGCTTAAATAAAAGATTCTCAGTCTCCAGCGAAGTTACAGAGGAGTGTTCAGTTCACAGAAAAAGCAAAAGCACGGGGTTTCATAACCCTGTTGCTTGACACATTCATTTTAAACAGGTTAAAATTAGAGCTTGTCAAAAATAGGAAACATTTTGGCAAAAAAAATCTGCCCTTTTCCTTTGAAATTCATAATTTTGATAAAAGGTGTTGCATGAATTGAATTTACATGCAGGTCTTGTCTCCTTAAAAACTTGGCATGTGAGTTATTTTGTTATTTCATCTTTGGCTCTTTTCCTCTATTTTACAGTTTGTATTTTTATTTATTTATTTGTTATCTTACAGCTTAATGACAGATTGTCTGGCACTGAATTTCTTGTTACAAATTACAAGATAAAGACAGTAGGCAGGTAAGTGTGCGACTTTAGTTTGGTATTTGCACCAAAACCTTTCAACTTTCGAAGAGTTTGCAATCAAGTTCTAGATCCATGTTTTGTCGTGGACCCCTCTCATTACTATGGGATAAGCTGGGACTCCACATCCGGCCATGTATGACCTTTAGAAGGGTTCAGAAACACATACTTGCATATCTCTGTTTTACTGGTAGGGACAGAGGAGAAGTAGGCATGTTTAGCATTTGCTAGACTGACAGCATCGTGACTTGTACGGACTTTGAGAGATTATTTATCATCATGCATATACCGACTTCTTGCCTCTTCTCCTGGTTTCCCAAACATCCCTTGATTTGGGAAGATTGTGGGTTGCACCAATAAAATAAAACACTGCATAGCTGATTCTGAAAACCACGGAGGCAAGCATAAAGGCAGAATGTGGAATAAATAGAGTGAGAGATTAGGATTTAAAGTGTCTTGCCCTGTGCATCTGTTGTATAATCATATACAAGATGCAATACTTAAATCTTTTAGGAATTAAGGGATTAAATTTTTTTCAAAACGAAACTGAAGGGCTCGTATAGAATAAGAAAATGATGAAGGCATCTTACATAACATTTTGATTAGTCTGTTTTGTTTGGCTAAGTAGCTTTTTAAAGCGACATGCTCTGCAGAGAAGTATGAATTGGTTAAGATGTGCAGCTGTGGAAGTACACAAGCCTGATTTGGAAGGATGGTTTTGTAGTGAAGTGACCGGTACGACATGCTCCATTGCTCTCTGCTGGACAGAACCAGCATTGCTGGATTATGTCATAAACCTCTGCTGCTAGGAGGGCGAGGTTCTTCGAGTAGATGTGATATCTTATATTAGACCAAGGATTTCTCTAACTCCAGTGGTTAAGACAGGGAGTTGTGAGCTCCATCAGTGCCATTGCCATGAAGGTCGACAAGGCTCTTGTAAGACGCACATCAGAGATGCTCCTGTCTGACCAGCGATTTGTTAATGTAGTAAATATTCCTAAAGGTACAACTGGCAATTCTGTAAATGGGCACATGATCCGTGGCAGCTTCTTTGGGTACCAACGTTCCTGATGTGGATCATTATGTTTGCTGTGGAATACTTACTCTCTTTTGCTTTGCTTACAGGGCTTCAACAAGAGGACGTGTCCAGAGGAAGGCTCAGGTACATATGAAACAAGAAGTCAACTTCTCTTCAGATATCAAAACCCACCACAACATGCTTTTCCTTACCTTTCCTCTTAAGGTATTTTAGCTGCAGGCTGAAAGGTAGCTACCCTGAGACACTGTAGATTCAAATTTATTGTCCCTGCTCAGGGGTGGGGAGAAGCTGTAAAGATCAGATTAACTCAGGGATGAACTTTATAACTCCTGCTAGCCCCCTGGAGAAAGCTCAACTGAACACTATCTGATTTTAGACTCCTGCAGTCCTGGCTTAAGTTTCATCTCAAGGCAAGGGGTTTGGGTGTCCAGGAAGGGAGTCAGGCATGTGCTGAGTTTGTAACTGGTCAGTGAGGTGGTTGGCTTTCAACCTGGCTCTTTTATGTATGGCACTCATGACTATTCCTCTAGTAACCATGACTCTGTCTACACTCCCAGCACGGGCACTCTCAAGGTTGTCCTGCCCCCCTGCTCCAGCTTGCATGCACCAAATCTGGAAATGCACCAGTGAAGATGCTCTCAGGCTGTCTGCAGGGCTGTACTCAAACTCTACAGAGATTGAGGTCTCAAGGACAAGTAGGAGGGAGGGAGGTCCATGAAGGAGTGTCACCAGCCCATCAGCTTCATGTGAGCCTGAAGGGACATGCTGGAGACACAGTGCACATGCCCCATGCACTGTATGTGCCCCCTGCTACTCCTGTGGTAACCAACAGTGTTTTGCCCCGTCAGAGGCCGCTGCTGGCCCAGGGCAAAATATATTCCATCTGAGCTGACACAGAATGATTTGTCTAGGGCACTTGCAGGAAAAAAAAAGGAAAAGGAAGGCAAGATTTGCAGTCATCCCTGTCTCATCCAGCAGCTTTTTCAGCAGAGCATGCACAGGAGCTACTCCCCCTCTCCTTTCTAACCACCCGCTCTCTGGATGGAGGCATCACCCCCTACCTCTCTCCAGCTCCACCTGGCCCTCTTCTTCTTGTCATTCCTTCGTTTTTCCCCTCCTTAGTCCCCGACCTTTGAGCAATGCTGTGGGAAGCACATTTCTCATGCCTCCTCCATGTGTCGCCCAGGCAGATTTCTAAAGATGCAAACGGCACTGAAGCCCCTGACTCTTGCTGGTGTTCAGGAGGAGATAGGAGCCTCAGTAACTTGTGTGTCTGTGGAAATATTCCCCATCAGATTTTGGGGCAGGAGACTGGCAGGGAAGGTTTAGCTACTATTTTGCTGCCTCACAGTGTCGTGCCACTTTGTCTGTGTAACACAGGACTCTCAATAAGTTTGTTAGAGAACTTCAGTCCAGAAATGAGATGTGATGGTGATTCATAACTAGGGTAAGCAGAGCTGTAGAACAAGTTATCCTAAATAGTTTCCTAACCCTATTATTTAAGAAACTTGCTACTTAGGTTATATTGGCTTAATGCACCCGACAGATATTGTGAATTGCAAAGTATTCTTACTGCGCATAGAAAGACAGATACTCGTTTCAAGCAAGTGGCTGCAATCTAATGAGGGTATCAAGTTGCTGCTGCTCCCTTTCACTGAAATCAAGTATTATTACATTAAAGCCAACTGCAGCTTCCTAACCTTATTCTAACTTTTTGTTTTGTCTTTGTCAACTGAAGATGAAGAAAAAGCAGAACTCCCGAAGGTAGGATCCATGTTCTTGAGTTGCATTTTCATCACCGCTGTTGATTTCATTGCGTGCTTCAATTCCCACCCTCACATTTATATTGTCTGTAGGTGCTGGTCTGGTAATATGATGATCACCCTTATTTAGTTATTGCTTTTTAAATCATATATTATTTTTTAGTATTTTTTAATTATGGAAGAAGCTTAAGCTCCTTGAAAGTGATAAAGTAACTTATTATTTGGGCTTCTTATACAGCAATCTGCTTCCAGTCTCTGGCTTGTCTTTGTAATAAGTCTTGGCTTGGGACACGCCATCTTCTTATACAATGGAAGGGAAGAATACAGAATGCCTATCCCTCCCACTGACATTGCTCTGATGTGCGTCCTTCGTACTCCCAATGTTTAAACTTCAAGTAATACATATATATTGTTTGATTTTCTCTGATGTTCCAGGAGTGTTTAATACCTTCTGGACTGTAGTTCCTTCTTCTCACCCTCCTATAAGGCAGATCAGGCAGCACTGGATTTTGGTGCAGGATGGGTCTTTATTTCATTGAGTGTTGTAGGTACAGTACATGTCAGCAGTCTGAATGGAAGTCCCCTTTACATTAAAATCAAGTCTTGGACTTAAGACCTGTGGGTTAATGATTAACTAACTGGTGGCCCATCACTACAAATGCAGCATTACTTTTATGTGTATCTTGTATTTGTAGCTATGGCTCCAAAGCCATTGTAAAGGCCGAATCTTCTGAAACACAAGAAGTACTGACTGAGAAGATAACACAGCTGTTGACTGGCACATATGTGGAGACACCAAAGTCATTCTCTTTGGAACTTGACAATGTGACTGTTGCCCCAATAGGTAATATTTTTATTACGTCCTATTGAATATTTGTTGCCAGATTTACAAGTGTTATGAGGGGGATGGGTCAAATTGAAAAAGAGGTCAGAAAGGAGCTTTATGATCAATGAGATTCACTCCTAACATCACACAGGCCACAAAATTTTACATAATGGTTCCTCCAGTAAGCTCCAAACCTGGTGGTTTGACTTGAGGACATCGCTCAGAAATAGAAACTCAGCCTGAATGTCAGGGCTCTTAAGGCAGTAATTTGTTACAGTGCTTCATTCCACATGTTAAGGTGCAAGTGGTTTCTGTATGATTCAAGGAACCTGCTTACTCTGGGCGCATCTACATGTGCAATTAATGTGACTGAATAAACTCTGGCACAATTTGAGCCAGAGTAAATTAATCCTGATGTCACCATCTACACATGAGTTTAAGCACGGTGATTTACTCTGCCATCAGATAGTACCTGTGTCTGATGGCACTATCCTACGCCAGAGTAAATTAATTTACTGTGCCCTAATTGCAGCGCACGTGTAGACAGTGATGCTTTACTGCACAGTAAATTAATCTACTTCACAGGGGGTGCATCTACACGAGCTGCCCATTGTATAGTTGTTATTGCAGTCATTTAGTACTTGCATAACCAAGTATTAAATGAGTGCGCAGTAACTGGAGTTACTGCATAGCAGCATCGTGGCACACTTGCCTAGTGATGCTTACTGCACAGTAGCTCAGTACTACTGTGTGGTAGTGTCATGTAACACAGTTAAAACAGTTCATGCATGGCGATACTACCGTGCAGTAGTAACAAGCTATTGCACTGTACTAATGAGCTACTGCACAGTATGCTTCTCATGTAGTTGCGGCCAGTAAAGCGCGCATTTAGATGTGCCTCTAGGTCTGAATTTGGCCTGTTATGGTTATTGATACAGCTTATTGATAGCTGTTATGGTTTACTAGGTGCTTGACTTAGGCCAGAATCTTGAATCTGAACCCCTTAGAAAGGTGGGAAAGTGGAGGCCTGGGATGGCTCTTAAAATGGGAACATATGCTCATCACCAGAACTAAAACTCCTACCTACTGGTGTTACTGTTGATGTGTCATCAAATCCCACAATAGTGGCGTGTAGCATCCATAGGAAAAGATCGCTCCTCAGTTCTTCAACTGTGTTTTGCTCATCTCATGAAAAGACACTTTTTAGAGGTGGGAGGAATTGGAGAGTGCACTTCAAATGAGTCAAAATTCCTTAAAACGATGGCTTGACTAATCTTTGCTATATGGGGTTTGAATCACATGTAATGTAGAATATGTTTTTTAATAAGTGCCAGAGAACAGCACAGGGAACTAAGTTACGGTCTATGGTCTTGAGCATGCCACTTTGACTATTTGTGTCTCCATTTACAATGTTTGTCCTCCTCCAGAAATACATACTGGCTGTGTCTACACAAGACATTGACTGCGCAGTCGTTACTGCGCAGTCATTTGGTACTTGTATAAACAAGTATAAACCAGTACCAAAATTGCTCAGTAACCTGAGTTACTGCACAGTACCATTGACAAACACCATTTTTGTGATGTTACTGTACAGTAGCCTTGAGACTACTGCGCAGTAGTGTCGTGTCATGGGTTAAGCTACATGACATTACTGTGCAGTAGTCTCAGGCTATTGCGCAGTCAGCATCTCATGTAGACATGGCCACTGTAGAAAAAAAGAAAAAAATTCACTTATTTGCAGCTGCAAGATCCCCTGTGAACCACACACTACATTCATCTTGTTTTAGGTCACAGGTTTGTGATTACATCCAAACTTCTCTGTAGATGCACTGCCAAAGTCTTTTGGAAAATTTATAGCAGCAAATAATATTTGATTCCTGGAGGCCAGGTGTAAGGCTCATTGAAGTGGGCAGCAAACCTGTTGTTGAGTTCACTGGGTTCTAGATCATACTCGGGCTTGCTAATAATGTTTTGTATTGACTTGTATACACTTCTTTTCAACCTCTGAATATTGAGAAGTAGACATGAGAAAAGAGAGGAACAGTGGGCACGTCTACACATTCGTTAATGCACCGTAATTATGGCACATTCAGTTTAGTACCTGTCATAACAGGTACTAACTTTATGCACTGTAATCAGTGCTACTACGCATTAGCGCAAATGAATGTTTTTTTGTGACACTTAATGCACATTAGACTGTCTATTGCACACAAGCACAGCATGCTTTTTGCGTGATGTGCTAATGAGCAGTAGACTTAGTCTAATGCACATTTAGCGTCTCATGTAGATGCACCCAGCACATCCCTGAATTTCAAAAACTTTTTTGACACAATTCATCAATAAAAAAGACTACTACAAAAGATCAACCACAGAGTACAGCATTGAAAATATAGTCCTTGTTGAAAAGCTACTAAGTGGGTAATGAAGGAATGCTAGAAAAATATTATGGACCATGTAGGGGGAAGATAGTGAGGGAAGTACTACAGGGATCAATAACAGAGTTAACTTTTTTTCACCCTCCACATGGCTGATCAACCAAAGCAGCTTGCAGTGTCTCTTATGGTGCTGTATATACTCGGTGATTACATGTAATTTCCTGTGCTGACAATCCAGCATCTTTCCAGAGAACTGAACTCATTAGACTAAGAGGGAAAGTGCCTCAGGGGAAACAGTAGGTAAAAAAAGAGAATTGTCAAGTAAACATGTAAAATTCCCCTGTCAAGGCAACAGCGGAGGCAATAATTATATTGGTGTTCCAATAGGAAAGACTATCTAGCCTAGTTAGGATGAGGGTCAGTGAAGCCTCCTTTTAGTTCAAGCAGCCTTTATAAAGAATAGCTCTAAAAATGTTGTTCTTAGATCCAGGAAACTGCCCAGGAAATCCCACACATTCAGAATACAAAGGGACCTACCTGTGGCCACTGACTACTGCTTTTGACAAAACTGAACTCAACTGCACGAAAAATCCTCAACAGTTGGCCAAGAGGCACTGGTAAGTTAGAAGATCATCTTCCCTTTATCCTTGATTACACAGATCCTTGCATGGACAGCAAGAGGGAACACAATAGGAACAAGATAGGAGGGGACTGTCAAAGTAGCATGGTCTGTAGGAGAAGGGACCTCAGTCCCCATGTGTTTCTTCCTGCACTGCACCATATGTAAGGGGACACCCTGGAAAGCGAATCTTCTGCTTCATTAGAGATGAATAGATACTCCATAATATATTAAGCCACCCCAAACACAGAACACCTTCTATGTTAGATAAACTTCAAATTGTCTTGCGGTTTGAGCTGATGCTTGCAATATGCCACCTGGACACTGCACCAAGGCTTGGGCCTGAAATTTATTTTTGAAAACAAAATAAATCAATTAAATGTTTGCAGCTCTCTATTTGCAAGTCCAATAAAATCATGGAAAATCACATATTTGTTTTCAATTAACATAATGCTTGCTGCTTTTATTTTTTAGTATGATTAATATTGAGCGTGGGAAAGCTCTTTGGAAAAGACCAGATCTGTCTGTATGCAAATTACTGAAAGACCTTCCAAATAATATTCTGGATCTTCAATATATCACCATAACAGAAGGTAAGGTTCCAGAAAGTTTAGTAATACAATGGAACACAGTAAAACTAATTTTGCATAACACATTTTTAAATGATTTGTCTGTGTAAGTATCTGAGACATGGAAGCAGTAACTATTATTATGCATGGCACGCTCACTTGTTCATCATAGAGTGTTTTCTGTTTAATATGAATTTTTTTTGCAGTCCTGCTTCAGCATTCTCTGACTGTCATTCTGAGACTTCGTTTTTTATCTTGACTCCATATTTCAGTTTTTGGAACTAAATAAACAAGTCACAATGAATAACTTGATGGATTTTGCCTTTTTATCCTGTTTATAAATTGTCTGTTAATACATCACACTACATTTTCATTTGCGGATCATTCAGACTGTGAAGCATAACTCAACATAGACCACTGGAATACCATGCTGTAACTGATGTAACGTACAAAAAAGGATCCATTTTATACCATTAGATTATATTTGCATATTGTGCCATGATGAATAACTGCATCAGTCACCCGAAGAGGAAACAGAGACAATATTATGTGGCTTATATAACTAACCAGGCACTGATCCAGCAAACTAAGCCACGTGGAGGATCTCTGTGCTTACATAGAGCTGTGCTGACTTCAGACGTGATGTGGAACCCGGTGGATGTAGAGGATTTGCAGGAAGAGGAGCAGAATGTGAACGTCGAATAGCAAATTTCCACCATGGAAAAGCCACAATCTGCTTTTTGTGCATATCCAAGCTAAGCACGCACTTTTAGGATGTCTTTGTGCCAGGAAAGTTTGAGCAAGCAAATGCTCGTAGGAAACAAAGCCAAAGTCTTGTGAACGCGATTGAAATGAAATTCACTTGGAGTTTGAATAAACGTTCACCAATAATTTTTACCATTATTTCCTCCATAGTTTAGACTCTGAATTAGAACAGATTGATTTTCTGTCCCTTGAAAATTTGATTTGATATTTGAAAATTTGCTGTGCAAGATGAAGTGACAGCTAATTGACACATTCTGTTTTTAAGTAATCATTTAGCACTATATTGGAAGCCACTATCAGCATTATTGAAAGACAATTAAGAACAAATCTCAGATCCTTAAGCTCAGAGTCCTCTGTGGGTACGTCTACACATGCATTAATGTGCCATAGTTACTGCACATTAAGTTTAGTACCTGTAATAATAGGTCATAACTCAATGTGTAGTAACCAGTGCTACTGCACAATTAGCACCAGTGCACACAGTCTTTTAGTGACGCTAATGCGCAGTAGGCTAATTCTACTGTGCATTAGTGCAAAAGCACAGCTTTTCCCCTGATACACTAATGTGCAGTAGAATTAGTCTACTGTGCATTTAGCATCTTGTGTAGACACACCCTGTGTGCAGACATACTCATCCAGTTTGTTGCTCACATGGGATGAAAGTCATCTGCCTATGGATGGTGCCTAGGCGGCTCCCAGCCAAGTTATTTTGAGGGGACTGTGCAGTGTTGAATAGGAAAGAGGCAAACTCCAAACCAGCTCATTGTTGCCTTGTCATGAAGTCAGTTGGCTTAGGTTTATATACAAAATAAATAGTCCTAAATGTTAAATGGCAGCTCCTATTCCAGAGATGGAGCCAGTTCCAGTGACTGCAATATCAGCTGTGGAGCTGCTCCATGGACAACAGATGCCATGCCTCTGACATACTCACCTCCCCAAGCCTATTTGTGCACTGGGAAGAGTGAACTCTACAATACTCCTACCAGAAGAAGTGCTACAAGGACACATTGAAGGCAGACCTCAAGAAAAAAGATGAAGAAAAAAGCTGGGAGGAGCTGGCTGCCAACTGACTCCAATAGTGCTGCAACCTCAACCAAGTGGCAGCCTGTTTCCAAGTAAAGCGTCTTGCCCTTGAAGCAGAGAAGAGAGAGTGGAGGGGAAGGAAAAGGAGCCTGAAGCCGGCAGCCTACTCTTCCCTATGGAAAGACCTGCAATTTCTACAGATGGGTCTGTGGCTCGAGGACAGGACTCTTAATTACGTAGAGCTCATCCTTGAATTGAGGGATTGCCGATTACTTCGCTTCCTCGAGCAGGCCAAAGTGGTTAAACAGAAGGAAGCAAAACAGAACACAAACCTCCAGGGACGTACTATTCCATTACAGAATTAAAACCTCAGAAGCATGCGCTTACCATACCTGTGAGATATCTGATGTCTCTTTATGGCTGAAATGAGATCATTTCAATGAAGAAGAGCTATCAAAGGGCCAAAATGAAAAGATGAATGAAGGAAAAAATCAAGGTCTTTGCACTGGTAATCAGAGTTCTTCAGAAAGAAAAGGACCAGCTGCAATAAAGAGCAGATCACTGCTATCTTGAGGTGTATGTCCTCGTTAATGTATGCATATAGTTTACAAGTGTATTTAAAATTATATGTAAGTGAGCTCCGCTAGCAATAGAATCTTAGGGAAATGATTTTATTGCACTACGGTTGTTTATTACATAATTTAACAAAACTTCTGGATCAGAAACATGGGCGGATCCACGATTTGGAAAAGGGGGGTGCAGATGGTTTGGTGCACCATCAAATGTAACACAACACATTTTTCTCCATGTAAAAAGGAACTAGAAACTTTACTAATATGCTAGGGCCCAAGGGCTATAGTATTTAGTTTAAGATTGAAGGAAGAACAAGTGCATCTTTATTGAAATGTGCATTAATTTGATATATCGTATATCATGTATTAAAAAAGCACAACAAACCAAGCAAAAGATAATCAAAAAATATTGTTTCATTAGTCCTGTAGTCACTAGAGTTTAATGTACATCTTTTTCAAATGCATAAAAACATTCTAGCCTTCTTGAGCATCTTGACAGGGCATCCAATACTTCACTGAAAGGTATTTGCATACCTGAGTTAATATTCACCTGAGCTAACATTTTCATGCCTGAGTAAATGTTTTTAGGTAGAGTTAAAAACAGTTTTCAGGGCTGTAAAATAGGAGCTACATGACCAGGAGCAGCTACTGGATATCAGAGCTGTAGAAGAAACGTTAGCTTAATCAGTGGAACATCAAGACCATTAAAAGGAAGAGAAGGTGATTAACACCTGTGGAATGAAGAGTTTAGAAGGAAACAGGTAGATTTGAACGAGCCATGAAGCTAATTGACTCCCTCCCTGCTGCCTGAATAGAAATGCTGCTGCCACTGCCAGGCAGTTGGTTTTATGCTTTCAGTGGGCCAGGAATCAAAGGGGAAAGGTGCAACTGTACCATTGCACCCCCCTGGGTCCACTTCTGATTTAGAAACTTTAATTTTTTCAATCTTTAACTAATTATTAGACATTTGTTCTTATAGAGGCCAGATCAGTAGTGGCACACATTTGTTTAATGCCAGCTGAGCACTGGAGCTGCACTGGGATTTGGTTATACAAGTCACACCTATGTTTTTTCACCTGTTGCAGAGAATGCACAGGATGTTGCAGAGCACATTTTAAACCTGATTGTAAACTTAACGCAACTGGAGGCAGAAGAAATGAAGATCATTGTAGATACAACTTCTGACATTGCAAACTGTAGTGAGATAAGCATGACGCTGGCAAAGACAACACTAGGAATACTGAACATGGTTTTGCTGAAACAAAATAATACGCACAGTTTGCACAAAGTGACCAACAGGTAAGTTAGATAACTACCTGAAAATCACTTACACAAAGCCAAATGAAAGCACTAAGGAATGATTTATTTTATGTCCTGTATTGGCTGATCCAAAGTGTGTCTGGAGATGTCCACATAGGACAAACAGTTTAGGGCCAATTTGTTTAAACAGCTCAGCTGCTGAGCTGTTTAAAGGGTTGCACAAACATGGAGGATGCACTCTTGTGTCTGCCCCATGGATATCACACTCCAAGAAGATATAGAGAAAGTGTTAAAAGCTGGCTTGATCTGAGAAAAGAGGACTGATCAGTCTTGTCACCAGCATGTGTTTCACAAAGGTCACTACAACTGGCCATATTCTTGACAATCTCAGCTTGGACCCCAAGAAATTAGGGAGAAGCCATCCTGGTGAAGTAGGCAGGATACACTCCTGAGGTTCATGCAAATTATGCCGGTTTCAGCAAACATTTTTAGAAACAGGTGCTGAAAGCCCATTTTGGGTTCCTTTTGTGGGAGGTTTCAAAAGTCCTGGCCAGGTGGCTGGCTCAATACCTCTGAAGATCATGTTTCTTGCTTGGATGGCTGTGGCTGGACTTAGGAACCTAACTTCAGACACCAGTTTTTAAAACTGGCCTGATAAAGGCACTAGTACCTGCATGACACTTCGACTGCCTGAAGAAGGGTGTTTATACCTGAAAGCTTACAAAAGAGAATTTTTCCAACTATTTGAGTTGGTCTAATAAAGGATATTGGATTTTCCCACAGAACCTTGTCTTCCTGTGTCCTTAGACCAACATGGCTACAACCAACACCTCTAGTACCTGCATGTCCTTCAGCACCAGATTCACATCTTTTTGTATCTCCAGCCCCCTCTGACTTACAGACTGCTGCTATTTGCAGGTTTCCCAGGCTCAGATCCTGTTTGGCCTGTAACAACATTTCCAAAGAAAATGACGCTTTCATGTCTTGTATTTTGGCTGGGGAAAAGTGCATGGGACTGCTGAGCTCTTTGCAGTGGGCAAATGTGCATTGTTTTTCTCAGTGCAGAAGCCTGAAAGGAAAAGATGCCAAAATAGTTTGTGAAATGTGTAAAGTGGAGAGTGGTGTCGTGATCCTCCTAGCAATATTCCCCACCCCACAGAAGTCATCCATGCCGCAAAGTGCAGGGTGGGCACTGTGCCTACCACCAGCACAGAACCAGCCTTGCCCTACAGGGTGTGCTTTCAAGTACGGAAAGTGAAGAAGCCCAAGGAATTCTGTTTATACTGAACGCTTCTCATTGGGACTATACAATTCTGGAGAGAGACCATCGTTTAGCACATGTGTGTGCTAGGGTCCTATTACTACCTGGAGACTCTAGTTGTTACAAATTAGTAATAATAATTTTAAATGATTCCAGCCAGAAACCCCCTGGTGTGTTAATGCTCCATAATGCAGCCTCATTCATTATATAAAGTGCAGAAAAGGTGTGCTAGAAGGGTGATGCATGGACTGGTCTATCTGGTTCCAGTGATTGATGAAGAGCCAGAGGGAATGACGATGAGTTCTCAGAAATATCTGTCCCTAAATGATTCCATAAGTGCTGGCATGATACCCTGATCACAGACCAAAATCTTGGATCTAGATGCTTCGGGAAAGATTAGAATAGACTTTGCAATGCTGAGCCATCTGATGACTCCCACTGTGAATCCTAGTTCACCTGGACCTGATGAAATATATCCGAAGCAGGGTTATTTTGAAATGGTGTCTTAGAAAGCGAGACCAGCTCAAGTAGGCAGAGTTCAGATATCATCCAGGCTATGATTGCAGGGCATCTTTCTATGTGCTCTCCAAATAAAAATATCCTTTCTCCAATGCTGCAGTCTCAGACTGGCAAACCAGTTCCATCGAGGCTGAACAGAAAAGTGAATATGTGGCATGTACTTTGTTGTCAGGTCTTCCAGCTGATAAATGGAGCTAGCTTTCTCCATTTCCATTTTTAAATACCATAAGACTTGTCAGTTTAATGCAGTAACATGTCAATGTGGGGCTCAGCCATAATCCTTACCCAGACAGATCTCCTGCTGATTGGGTGGGGAATGTCTTGATAGTAGAAACTTTTCAAGGTGTTTTTCTTTTTCTTGCTGTTGTACTCAATAAAGGGTCTTAAGGACGATTGAACAGATAGGTTACAGAATGACCTATCCTGGGAGGAATGCATCGATAATAATGGCAGCCCTGGCTTTGGTTGTGATACATCCAGATCCTAGCAGTTTCCAAGGACTGGCCTTTGGGGTTACCTCATATAAGGAAGACCTGAATCCAAAGGTGAGAGGAAAGCATAAAAAAATAAGACTGCAAGCTGTACCCAAGTCGAAAAAACAGCAGTTCTGTGGTTGTGTGACAGCCACAAAGCTTTAGGCAGACATCTCTCTGACAGATTGATCTCTTTATGACAGATTGATATACAAGAAACACCCTTTCAAAAGGCCTTGGCCTCTGTGTTTTTGCCAAGATTAATGAGGGAATACTTGGGGATCCATTCTTTTGATCCAGAAGATCATCCGAAGATCCAGTTTACTTTCTTTGGCACAACTTCACTCTTTATGGTAAGTATGGTCATTTGCTCACACTAGCAACCTAGCATTTAGATAAACTGTTTTTCCTGCAGTGTTCAGGGAAACGTACCCGGTGCTGAGATCTGTTATACAGTGGAAGTTACATCCCTGGCACTTTTACAGCTAGATGGGCCCATGCACCAAAAATGTGCAGTGAGAAACATCTGTGCCCCGGTGGAGAGCATGCTGTTCAGTCTAACTAGCCCTTTCCACTTCCATGATTGCTACCTGTAGAAATTGTGGTCTGCCAGGTTAATAACAAAGCCTGATCTCCCTTTGTGTGATTTATGAATGCTTGCAGAAGTAATAACAATTCTGATAGGAAACCTTTAAGACAGTTACGTTTTGGCATGCACTTGCAGCACATCAAAAAAGCCAAGAGACAGACTGCTATAGCACTCAGCGCATGTCTCTGCACATACAAGGAGGCACACCTAGCTTACCTTTTGTAGAGTTCACAGGCAGTAGGCCTTCCTGGCTAGTAGTTTAATAGACAGGCTGTTGGATATCTTGCTGGAGGGAAAGTTATGCAGCTTTCCCGACCTATTCAATGCTGTTTCCCCTGTATTCTGCTTCAGCTAATTAGGAGACTATGTCTCTGTGATTTTGCCACTAACTACATTTTCTAATAAAATAGCAGGGAGCTGAATTAAATTAGGATCCTACTGTGTTTGGCTCATTGCCACTTCCAAGAAAGACAATTTTAAAAACAGAATCAGCAGCAAATAGTTGATCTGCTAGAAAACTGAGTAAGCTGAACTTTTTCTTCTTTTTTTTAATCTTTCCATTGCAGGGTGGCAGTTCTGGGAATGAAACGTTGAACACTTATGTTGTGAGCGCCAGCATTGAAAACGTATCCATTCAGAACCTCAAAGAGCCAGTCAATATTATTTTAGAGCATATAAACCCAAACGTGGTATGGCATTTTCATTTAATCCCAGGTCTCCAAATTTCATCTTTGCAATAAGGTTGTCTCTCTTGCTGCCAGTTTAAAAAAATCTTCCTACTGGACAGATCTCTGTAGGCCACACATCAATAGCAAGATTAACCATGTTGCACGGGTTTCAGGCTCTCTGTTTAATGCACACAAGCTGTTGAGGCATGTGTTTGCTTGTCCCATCTCTAGGTACCTGCCAGGGGCATTTCATTTCCTTCCTTGTTTTGAGTAGACCTGGGTGAAAAATTTGGGATGAACATTCTGGTCACTGAAAAATGCAGGTTTGGGTCAACCAGAACTATTTGTTAATGACTAAATTCTGCCAATATCTGGCCAAATAATAATAATAAAAGTCAAAATATTTTATGAGATTTTCAAAACAAAATATTTGGATATTTTTTGTTTTGAAACAAGGCTTCAGTCTATGTTTACCTGAAATTCATTTAAAGAAAATAAAAGTACTGCTACTTAAAAACACAATGAGATGGATTTTATTAGATCCAGAAGAAATGTTTTGAGGTTTCTTTGCAGGTGGGAGTGGGGAGGGGAATGGAAAAATGTTAATGTCAGATCAACTTGAAACAAGCCTTAATTCAGCCCTGAGGTGGGATGCTACGGCTACAGAAACAGAAGTGCTCCACCCAATAAGGAAGCTGGCCTGCAGAAATAGGACTTAGTATGCAGTAGTGGAAGATGAGTTTGCTTCTGATCATATGACATGCTATATAATCTATAAAACAGACTCTAATATTTGTCTTCCAGTGACTCACCGTGGTAATTCAAGTTTCCTTGCCAAAAAAGAACAAACTCATCATTGCATTCTCTCAATGGGAGAAAAAGGCAACAATCTCCACAAACACAGATAAACCCATTTTGAAGATAGGGTTCACTCATAAGATGCCTACATTGCACATGTTTATGGTGCAATGCCTACCCATATACTGCAGCACAGGGTTCAACCTAAATATGTAATAAGGTATACTTGGTTAATGATCAAATTTAATTTGAGCTTGAAATTTTTACATTTAAAGCAATATGCTCTTTACGCTCAATTCTGGCAATTAACACATGCCTAGAAATGGAGTCTAAAATTGCCCCCTTACTCTTAATCCAAAAGGCCATATGGGCTCTCTGATTTCTCCTCAACCATTTAAAACATCCTGATTAAATATTTAATGAGACTTAGCCAACCTGCATCCTCATCCTTCCAACTAATTGTACATGACAGTCCACAGATTCTCAAATCTCGTAGAATATTTGTCGGGGAGCTGCTTGTGCCTACAAATATGTTTAAAGGAAGAAAGCAAGCGAGCAAGCTAGATAAACTGTATTTTGGGCAAACTAACCATAGTATTATGATATGACTCAAATGGATGAACTGGATAATATGTTATAAGAACAACTCCAACATTTACTAGGAAATTCCATTATTCTGTTACGCTGCTTGAAATAGGCTAAGATACTAAAATGTTTTTAAAAAGCTTTTTATGACATATCTGCTTTCTGAAGCAGGTATTACATCTCATGATTTTCTTTTCAGCCCAGTTTCTAACTGCATGCACTCTCAGAATGGCACACTAAGATGAATCATTTGAGATCTGCCTGTAACTAGCTATGCCTTTGCAGAAAACTATGCAGATCCAATGATATTAAGTACAGGAATCAGCCTTGGTTGAATACATAATACTTCTTCATTCTTTCTGTAGTAATCGATGGACAGTCATGGGAAATACAATGCACTACAGCAAAGGTGCCCAGCCACTGGTCCCCTGGCACTGTTGTCTGGCCTCTGGGGCTGCCTCTGGGTCTTTGGGGAACCCCGCAGGCCATGGCCCTGTAGTCTAGATCAGGTGTGCAGGATGACACTGGGCCCAATCGCAGTACACGCGGCCACAGGATGGCACAGGGCCCCAGGGCCTGATCCTGGTGGGCAGGACCAGGTAAATGCAGCATGGGGCCCCAGGACCTAATCCTGGCAGGTGGAGGTTGTGCAGGGCCCCTGAGGCCTGATTCTGGTGGGTGAGACCAGATGGAGGTGGCACAAGTTCCCCGGGGCCTGATTGCGGCAGGTGGAGTCCAATTTGGACTATGGACCAACTCCAGACCCCTCATCTGGCTCACAGGGCCAAAAGACTGAGCACCAGTGCGCTACAGTATACTAAATTTTATGGAACAACATAGCTACTATAATGAAAGAAGGGTAGGGTGAACTCAGAGACTGGTGATGGAAAAATCCTTCACCTCTAGGATGCCCTTTCTAATCTAGCCAAGATAGATGACAGATAGAAATTGTTACCAGCTGATGGATTTTGGCGGTGCAAGAGATATTGTTTGTATTCATAGTCCAGTTCTCAGTGGGCAGGTGTCCATAAGCAGAGAGATGTAGTTGGCCTAGTTGTCTAAAGTCAAGAAGGCAGGGTAGAATTGCACCTTTCCTGATGAAAGCTATATATACATACACGTCTGCTTTGGTTGGTTTATAAGGTGCAAATCTACCCTGCCTTCTAGGTCTCCATAATCCCATAATTTGTTGTCAACAGTCCCTTGATATGAGGAGGACAGTCGTCCAATAAGTAGGGGAATCATTGGTGAGTCCGGAGATAGCTGAGAAAGCCAACCTGAGATAAGTACCTTATGAGTACCAGGCGGACAAGGTTCTTTGGGTGGATGTGATATCTTTTATTAAACCGACTAAATAGTCGAAAAATTCAGAGCAAATGCTCTTCTTCAGGCATAGTGAAGAAGGGTGTTTGTGCCTGAAAGCTCGCACAGAACATTTTTTCCAACTATTCAGTTGGTCTAATAAAAGATATCAGATTTACCCAAAGAACCTTGTCTGCCTATGTCCTTAGACCAACACCGCTACAACCAACAATCTTCACAAATACCAGGACACTCAATAACATGGTTCATAGTCCTAGTGAAGACTAAGATGTGTCTAAGCATAGAGACAGAGGTCCCTTCTTATTGTTAGCTGAACTTGGGACAAGTTGGAAGGGCACTGTGGAGGAAGCTTGGTTCAAGCAGGCCATGCTGTGGCTATCGTTGAGCCAGATCCTGCTGCTAAAAGCTCTGCCAAACCAAGATTAGGATTTGGAATCGAACCTGGGGTTAAAAATTCACTTCTTGTTACACAGCAGACGCTAGAAAGCAATGTTAAGAAACATCAAAGAACAACACTTCTTTTTTCTTTCAGGACAATGCTTCAGTGCACTGTGTGTTCTGGGACTTTATGAAGAACAGTAAGTACTATTTAGAATAAAAGCAAAGTTAAATTTAAGTAAAACTAAATCTTACTGACAGTAGAAATAATTTAATTCAAGTTTAAAATTGGTATTAGTGACCTGTTATGAATAATAAAACTCCAAAAGGGAAAGATGGACATGCGACTGGGAGTCAGGAGATAGCTACTAAAGTGATCACTGCATTATAAAGATAGATGGTCACTAGAGACTTGGGTTCTGTCCTTACTCTGATGTTGAGTCACCTGTAAAATGGAGATGACAGTTTTGTACCTCTTACCAGTGCTGCTGTGAGACCGTAATTGTTAAGGCATCATAAAATACTCAGATAAAAACAGAAGTACAAAGTATTGCTGCTGTCAACTTCACCGGAGATGCACAACTGGATTGGACTCATTCAGCAGAGGGTGCTGTTAGAGTTTGGTATAAAGTGGTGCTTTTTATAACTGCAGTTTATTAAACAGGTGTTAGGGTTGAATCACAACTAATTAAACCAATGCTTCAGTTTTTATGGAAGATGCTTCCTTGTGTTTTCTAAGCACACTTGGTGGGCTTAATTTTGCCTTTGTTTACATGGGTGTGAATCAGGAGCAACTCAACTGGCTTCATTCTAGGGAGTGAAATGTAGTACAAGGGGCAAAGGAACACTGGAGCTGGGGTGAGGGAAGGCCAAAAACTTTGAGTCAGGCTGCTGGGCTCTCAGGACATCTGCATCTGGGTTTTGCTTGACCCATTACAGCATTTTGGCCAGCGTCCTGATGGGAAAGTTCTGAGAATTCCTGGGGACGAGGACCAGTATTTGGAGGTTAGCTCATCACTGCTTGTACTCTGCCTCTGCTTTTAACATAGACCAGCGGCATCATTAACACACACTTCCTGGTAAAGTGCCCATTAAAAAAAGAATATTCCCCTACCCAAATCAATGAGAGGCTCAAGAGAGAGCCTGCCCAATTTGCTGGTTAAATATGGCGGCCTATCCCTGTCAGAACACTCAAACATATTGATTTTATCAGGATAGATGTGCAGACAATGCTAAAAAGTTCCAGCATGCCTGAGAAGGGACAGCAGGTCCTGCATGCCAGTCTTCACTGGTTCCCTTTGGTCACCTCTCTCTGGAAGGGCACGCACATCCAAAACAGCAGGGAGAAGAAAGGAGAAACTGAAGGTTTCTGGAAGATCATTTATTTTCCCCCAAAATGCACAATTAGAGCTTTGAATAACAGTGGTTTTTCAAGGAAAGAACAACATTCTGGGGTTTTCTGTAGACTCAGGAAGACAAGACTGTACTGGTTTGATGTCAGTTGGTTTGGGGGAGGTTTTCTTTGCAACTACGATGCTAGAAATGTCTTTAATAAAGAATATATTATATACATATGTATTTATACATATATAATATTACTTTCAATATTTCTTCAGCTGCCAAGTGCAGTGAGAATTTTTAAAAAATCTCAGGCAACCTTCCAAGTTGCATGTTCCTGTGTGAAATCTCACCCATGCGCGCTGTTAGCTGACCTGTATTCTGAACTAACTTCAGCTCATATTCACACATTGTGCATGTTGCAGAGCTATAAATGACTGGGCATGACTAACTCTAGATAAAAATCTCTTTTCTGTTCTGGGCAGATGGACTAGGTGGTTGGAATACATCTGGGTGTGAAATGAAATACACGGATATGAATTATACAATCTGTTATTGTAACCATCTTACCCATTTTGGAGTCCTGATGGTAAGTACTGTATGAATCATCTCCCCAAAAATTCTAAAACTAAACTATCATCACTGGATTCTTAGGAGAGAAAACAGAAGGTTTATTTCTAATCTAGCTGTTGGAGAACTGTATCTTGCTTTAAAAGTTAATAACAAGAAGATAAGAAATTTTAGGACAGACAAAACCAAGCCAAACCCTGAACGAACCCTCAAACCCAGTACAAATTCATTTTTGCAGCAGCTGTCCCTACATCTTTATAATTTTGCTTCATTAATGTTGCTGCATAATTTTCAGTATTGGAAATATGGTGGTAATGCCTAATACCTGTCAACTGCTGTTATATTTCTCTGGAAGTTTTATTACTGAAAGCATCCATCTAAAAATGGATCTGAATGTAAATATGGAAAGGACCAATATTATCATCTTTTACTTATATGGCATCAAGCATGCACTAGTTTCTTTAGCAAAATCCCAGCTCCCCAAAGCTTAATATCAAAACAAGCAAGGTACAGGTGAAGAATGAGGAGTGAGTTGCAACAAAAAGTGACGATGGCTGGGAAATTCCAAATAAACTAGGGATCGGATAGCAGCCAAGAGATAAAAACCCCACAAGGGGTAACTTGAGACCTATTATTTGCCTCTGGCATATGCAACACGAAGATAAACACATAGTTGTGCTTAACCTAAGTGTCCCCTAGAGGTCAGCAGTACCCTACGCAGAGATAGAGGCAAGAACCGTCTGTGGTAGTAAAAATGTTTCTTTGACGGGAAGATTTGGATGTTGTGCAGTTCAGGCGGTCTGTCTTGTTTCTAATTAAAGCAATGAGCTTAAACCTAATTTTAAAACCACATTTTTTATCCACTGTCATTCCTGCAATGTGTAATAACTGTTTAACGTCACAGAGGGTACCGGATTCTGCAAACACAGGGTTCCAGAGTCACATTAAGCAATAGCGATAGCGACAGACTATGGCAGGAAACCAGAGTCATGTCACGAACATCTTTGGGATCTACAGTATGGGAATGAGGCCCATTCTGTTGGATAGTTTTCAGAGCCTTGTGCTTGGTAGGAGTTTTGACTTGATGAGTCCTCTCAGACATGGAAATATCTAGCACTTTTCTGCAGTCCATACTCGCAGCAACCACTATTTTAACAAACTAGAGTTTCTTCTGCAAATTGGCAGGCAAGGTTCTTTGGGTAGATATGATTTCTTTTATTAGACCAACTAAATAGTTGGAAAAAAGTTCTTTGTAAAGCTTTTGGGCACAAACACCCCTCTTCAGGCATAGGGAGACTCTGCTGCTGTTATGAGTTCTCCAAAGTAGAAAAGAAGCTAAAGTCTTAACAAGAAGTTGGTGAAGATGCAAGCAAGTGGAATTTGGAAGACAATGGGTAGAGATGGGAGGGAAGGGAGGGAAAAGTGTGAAGAAATGCAAGTGGTCAGCTTAAGGCAAGTTACCTGGTGTGTCAAATGGCAGGCAAGTTGTAATGTGTCATAAATCCAGTGTCTGTATTGGGTCCATGATTTTTTGTATCCAGTAGATTGATGAAGTGAAGTTCATAGGCTCGTCTACGAAAGGTGTTTTGTAAGTTCCCTTTGAGGATTAGAATTGAGAGCTCAGAGCGGCAGTGATTGTCCTATGAGAAGTGTGCACCCACAGGTAATTGGGTATTTTTGTCTTTGATGGATTTCCAGTGTGCGTTCATTCTGGTGCACAGTTGTTTGGTTTCTCTTACATACTTTCCATCAGGGCATTTAGTACCCTGGATGAGATATATTACATTTCTGGAGGTGCAGGTGTAAGATCCAGGACTGGTGATGGTTCTGTTGTGGGGTGTAGTTATTGTGGGAGTGGTGGAGGTGTGGGGCAGGTTTTACATTTCTTGTCCTGGCATGATCTGGATCTGTTAGGTGTGGTTTTGGTCATAGGAAGTTTGCTTCTGGTGATGAGGTTAGCAAGGTTCAGTGCTTGTTTAAAGGCTAGGACAGATGGATCTGGAAAGATTTTTTAAAGAATTGGGTCTTCTTCTATTATGGATTGCAACTGTTTGAGGATTTCTGTAAATCAACCTTTTAACTTAAATGTTTTCGGTGGTATCAGAATCCTGATGGAATTGTGGGATAGTGGAAGAATATTTCCTTTCTAGCTTCTTCACAAAATATTAAATGCTAGATACTGTCATTGTTGCTAGGATTCCAATACAGTCTTAAGCAAACAGTTTGTAAAAAACGCTAAGAACAATTTAAAAGAACACAGAATAAAAATTGGTTTCTTTCCCCAATGTGCAAGTGAAGTCGTTTTCTTTTCCTGCCGGGCACAGACTTGGTCAGGGTAGTGACTGGAATTCTTTATATTGTGACCTAGGACTTATCCCGGACTCCAACAGATCCTGTGAATGACCGTATATTAACTCTGATAACCCATGCAGGATGTGGTGTCTCTTCCCTTTTCCTAGGGGTAGTATTGGTGATATACCTTGCCCTTGAGTAAGTTGATTCCTCTTTGCTTTATTATTTTTTAAAGTATCAGCAACAATGACTTTACAATCACTGTGGGAATTTTCAGTACAATCAATACTATGATTAACAAGACAGAAGGAGATATGAATTGGATATGAGACTTGATTTGGATATGTGAATATGGTGAAATAATTTGGATTGAAATGATCATGTTTCAGGACATAAGCCAACCTCCAACTCATGGAGGTTCAGGATATGTTATTTCAGAATTGCCTACAGAAATGTTTGGTGCAGCTGCCTCTGAAGCATCTGATACTGGTTGTTCTTATAGGGGCTTGGCAAGTCCTCTGTTCCTAACATGCATTCCATATGCTCTTGGGTATGGGTAGAGTATCCTTTCAGGGGGCTGAGATATCTTTACTGAAAGTATGTGCATTCAATGATACAGTCCCAATTCTATAAAAGGTGTTGAATGAAATGTAAAGAAAAAGACCTTTCCTATATAAACACTGCCTTGAAATTCTCCTTTGGGAAGTGACAGGTAAAAATGGGTTTAGCTGTAAATCACTTCATGCTACAGGCAGCCATTTTTAAGGCTACTGAGCATACATTCCTACTACTTTGTGTTAGAGAAAAAATAGGAGAATGCTTCAGCTGCAAGGGCAACTGCACTATGACAGCACTGGATGGGTGCCACATCTCTTTTCCTTTCTATTTTAGCAAGCTTCAGAGAGATTATCCTTCCAAAATCCTGATCAACCTCTGTGCTGCACTGCTGATGCTGAACCTGACATTCCTGGTCAATTCCTGGCTGACATCATTTAATAACCACGGCCTTTGTATCACAGTAGCTGTGTTCCTTCACTACTTCCTGCTTGCAGCCTTCACGTGGATGGGTTTGGAATCTGTTCACATGTACTTAGCTCTCATCAGAGTCTTCAATACATACATTCCACACTACATCCTTAAATTTTGCATTGCTGGGTGGGGTAAGTAAACTGCTTCTCTCTGGATGGCTGTGCTTTTGAGATAGTGTTCTGTTTGCAAAAGTGTGTCAGGACAGGGCACCACTGCAAGGATTCAGGATGGATGCCGCAGTCCAGGCGTGTCCTACTGACAGCTGCATGGGGAGAATAGCAGATAGGGGAGAATGCATGGGGAGAATAGCAGATAGTTCCTGTCCATCAAGCGCAGGGTTTGAGGCAGATGGATCTGTGCTATCTGTGAGTCAGTGCCTGTGCTCAAGCGCTTTTTGAGTAAGCCACATCCACTGTTGGAGCAAGATTGTGACTGGCCCCTACCTGCATAAGCAAAAGGAGACTAGGCTTAAGATGTCCCTCTGCCTGTCTCTACCACTTAGGCACAGTGGTCACCTTGCGGGCACTAGCAGGATGGATGTCCTGGGACTGTTGTTCTGTTGAGTTGGCTGGAGAGTTGTTACATTTAATGACCTCTTTTAAAAACCACCTGTCATATGTTGCCTATATTGATTTTACATACAACTTACTCCACTGACTATTGGCCTCACAGAGCTCTGCTTTGGGGCAGCCGTGTGCAAGTGTTGCTGTCTGCAGAAATCATTCTTCATAAAATGATAAAAAAAGCAGGAGATGCCAGCAGTGTGGCAAACAGAAAAGAGAGTGGAAATGGAGACATGAACATGAGCCCGCTGAAAAATGCCAGCCTCCATTAGCTGGCGGTGCAAAGCACTGCTGCCAATTTGTCTTTTGCCACCGTTGGGCTTTTTCTAGTGATCAGTAGGTGTTATTTAGCAGGCTGGATCCCTTCTGGAGATGTGCAGGAGCTCTCCAAAATTTTGCAAACAGAGATATTTTTATTCCTACTCATCTGCAATTTACATAAATAAAAGTGGTAACCATGCTCTACCACAAATACAGAATCCCACCAATTTCCAAAAAAAGCTTCAGGGGCAGAAAACAGAGCATAATTTGACCCCCCGCTCCCATGTATGTCTGTGCTAAAATAATATTGGCATAGTGATCAGAGGTTGCTGCTTCTATATTGTCTAATTTTTTATTTAATGTCTCTTTCACAGCATCTGATGAAGCAAACCATTGCTTATGAAAGCTTACGCTATGTATTTCTGATTTAGTCTATATTATAAACTGCAAATTGATCCCACCTTCTGCCTGACTTCAGACGAATTCAGCTAATTATCTCTCTCTTGCCTCCCATGTGATCAGGACTACCAGCTGTTGTGGTTGCTATCGTACTCATAATAAAAAAAGACTTTTATGGCAGTAGACCACCGTATGAAAGCAACAACCCGTTCACCGATTTGTGAGTATGATGTTTGAGGCTCTTTGTTGTTCCCTGACCTGTAGACTGCTAAGGCCAGAAGAGGAGAAAGAAGGCTAGAAGAAACTTCCTCCCTCCTTTTAATTCTTCTATTGCATTCCAACCTCTTTCTCCCTATTCAGCCACTTTATGTGTCAATTCCTCTTCATTTTGGGGGACTCTCTGCCACTGGAGCATCCCCTGATTTGACATCTTCATATGCTCCAATACGTTCTATGAGTTCAGTGGAGCCTATACATAGAATAATTAGGCCTGGTGTTCCACCTATTGTCGAAGGCCCCAGTTTTTTTCCCTTCTCATTGTTGTATCTCATCCATCATATCACACCACTTGTAGTTTTGGACTCCTCAGTGAGGTCACCTCAATCTTTCCTCTTTTCCAGGGAAGAAAAATTGAAGTCTGTTAACTTTCCTTCTGCTATCTTTACATTAGGAAGCCTCCTACTTGCATTTTACTGCCCCTAGCTAAGAGAATACTGACCCTCTTAGCAATAGGACTAGGTTGAGTGTTTGCACTTGCTACAGACATGGCTGCATAAGGAAGCAATTACATAGCACAGGAATGTGTATTACCATGCTGGAGCAAAGGGGAAGAAGAAGGGAAGGAATCTGTTCCCAGGTTAACTGAATATTATCTGTAGACAATCTAACCAGTGTCCACCCTTGTACTCTGCTGATACCAGAAGAGGTCCCTAGTTATTAATTTTTAATGCTGTATGTTTTCTCCCTTCCTGCAGCTGTTGGATTGAAAATAATGTCGTCTTTTACATCTCTGTTGCGGCCTACTTCTGCTTCATATTTTTGATAAACATAGTGGTATTTATTGCTGTTCTCGTTCAAATCCATTCCATGAAATCAAAGACAAGAACAAGGTCCAAGGACTGGAAGCAGGGCTTACTCCATGACCTGAAAAGCACCATCAGCTTGACTGCCTTGCTTGGTCTAACATGGGGCTTTGCCTTCTTTGCCTGGGGACCAGTACAGATTTGTTTCCAGTATCTCTTCGCCATTTGTAACACACTGCAAGGTAACCTCTGTATGAAGGGCTGACATAAATATGCCATCATAGTATCAATTTTTGGGGGGGTAATACGTAAATACATTCAGAGCATCATCTGATTGAAGTGGAGGGTGTTACATGGCTTTGTTTCTACCATTAGTACAATTGGCTGCTTATACACGTGCTCCTTGGCGTTCTAATTAGAATACATTAGAGCAGACTCGATTAATTGAGTCTGCTCCATGTTCTCATAAAAACGACCTGGCGTTGCTGCAGCATCATGTGTATTAAGCCCCTGCATTTCAAAATGGCCACGGGGGCACTTTCACTAAACCTCATTCAAGGAGGTTTAGATAAAGCATCCTGCAGCCATTTTTAAACGTGTGGGGGCTTAATACATATGACACTGCAGTGTTTTAATTAGAGTGGCTCTTGAGGCACCGCTCTCATTAAAATACCCACCCTCCCAAGCGGGTGTATAGGCAGCCTTAGACTCTGTAATAGTAAATAAGATGGTATCTGGAATGTATTTATATCACTGCTATAGGCTACTAGGGAAGAACTTGTAACACCTTTCAATTATGTGTCTTTTTAGGGGCAAGCACGATCCATTTCATTTGGGCACAGAAATGCATACTGGGATTTTCCAGGGACTAGGCCAAGGGTGGCCAACATGCGGGTGGTTGCAGGTCGCATGGGCAGCCTCTGTGAGTGGCATGTGTCATAGCAGGAAGGGGACGGGCAGCACAGCAGCTGATAGGGCAGGAAGCAGAAAGCAGAGCAGAGATCAGACAGAGAGTACAGAGTAGGGAGCAGAAAGCAGAGCAGCAGACTGGACAGAGGAAAGGGGATCAGAGAGGCACTCAAGGAGGATGTGGGACTAATTTGTGTCACACCTGCCAAAAAAGTTGGCTCCCACTGAATTACCTGATTGTCCCAGTGCCAAATCTAGAGGACTTTTCCAGTGACCTGCCAGTTCAGGTGGAGACCTCAACAGAAGAAAACCCCTCAGTTCAGGTCTGCACTCACATAAATACAGGCAGGGGGTATGCCTCTCTGAGCTGTAGACAAAATGTCTGTGATCGAGGAGCGCACGAGATATTTAGGAAGGAAAAGGAAGGCTGGTGAATTGATCGGAGACCACCTAAATTCTTCTCTCCTCTCCTTTAAGGGGTCTTCATCTTTGTGTATCACTGCCTCATGAAGGAGAACGTGAGGAAGCAGTGCCGTGTACACTTCTGCTGGGGAAGGTTTCGGCTGAATAATTATTCTGGTAAGACGTGAAAGCTTCTTGCTTTTCTTGGCTCATCATGTAAAGCTATTAATGGCATCAGAATTAAAATGGGAATGCTTTAGTATTACAACTATGCTACTCCTATGCTGGCATTTAAGATTAATGAGAGAGCTGCAATGAAGGAAGCTGTTTGGTATTTTTTTATCTAATGCCATATTTTTTGTTAATAGAAGTGTTTGACTTGACTTAAACAACTTCTTTGTGTCACCATCTTCCTGTGGTGCAGCCATATAGTACCTGCTATTCAAGGCTCTGAAAACACTTATGCCCATGCCCAGTACAGGGCCTGTTCCTTATGGCACATTCACACTACAGTGGAAAGAGGTGGTGCCTGCCCCAATAGTGCAGATTTTCTGCTATTCCCAGTATGAGGTAGAAGGATATTAGATCTTGTTGCCTCTCTGTGACTGTCTTTGCAGACTGGGCCTCAGTTAATGCTGTGAATAGTTGGTATGTTGAGGAGGCTACAGGACATATATTTCAGGGGTGCTTCAGCCTCACCTCTGAACCTGTACCTACAACACATTTCACCCACTTTCAGGGTAGGTGCAAATAGCACGCTTATGCAGAATGTTAATCTGCATAGGCAAATACACACTGCACATGCAAAGATGAGCATGCTGCATCCTGGGCCTAATTTTAGATTCTGTTTTTGGAGATGTGGCATCAAATTACTAGATTGCTGGTCCCCTGGTTTTACTTCACTACTTCCTGTGACATGACAGCTCAAGGAGCCCTCCACGTGCTGCCATAGAGAAGCCAGCTGAAAAAACCTTCTGCCTCAGAAAGATTAGTGCACCAATGTATAATCTATAATGAAGCAGTCTGTTTAACACACACACTGCGCCTCAGCTCGTGCTTTTCAAGTACAGGCTAGTGTTGGGGATGGTGCAACTCTGTGACAGGAAGACAGGAGGAGAGCACAAGTGCATCTCTGTGGCATCCACAGCATCTTCTCCCCAGGGCTTTGGCCACCTCTGTCTGATGCAGAGAGGATGAGGTCAGGACTCCACCTGCTTTCCATCTCCTTTGGAGGGGCTCTCCAAAAGGCTGCAGTTGTACTTGATTCCTGCATGGGATGAAGGAGGCGTAAGCTCTCAGTATCAGTCCTCTCTTGCACCAAGCATGGGGATACTGCTAGAATTGCAAGGTGGGATTGGAGCTGAGGTCTACCTAGCCAGCACCCTGCCTTCAGTAGTGGTCAGTGCTTACAGTTCTAAGGTAGGTTTATCAAAGCAAGATTTTTCCCATCTGCCATAAGTACCACAAACAGGCACAGCCCACAATGACCAAGCTATAATCTATGCCTGCCCTAAGCCACATGTACCAAAAGTTTTGCCTCCCGTATGCTGTCTCATTCCCAAACTCCACACTCTCTCATTTCAGACTGGAGTGGGTCAGGGTCAGGATATAAGCCAAGAAATGTAGAGGATAATTTATTCTTCCATTCCTTGAAGTCAACTAAGTCCATGAAATCTAATGGAACAAGCTCAACTTTCAATGGCTCCAGCTGCCTACAGGGGACTTCTTTGGATATGAACTTCAGAATAGGTAAGAGGAAAGCAATGTACACCGGTTTCCATGAACGCAAAGTGTAGCAAACCAAATGGTTGTCAGACCCCAAAGTATAGAAATAGGAGACATTTTCCCACCATGTCTAGGCCAGACCAGAACAGTGGGCTAAATTCTCCCTTACAGGTTGTTTCAGCTGGGCACAGATAAGTGGAGATGCTGTCAAAAGAAGAATCTCAGCAAAGAAGAGCGCCCCCTTCCCCCCCCCTCCCCCCACACACACTTTAAAGGTCTCTAAACTTGGGCACCCAAAATCAGAATTTATTTTTGAAAGCCTGGCATTGTTTCTTTCCCAAGCATATCTTGTCTCCCTCTTAATAAGGCTTTGTAACGAGAATCAGCACATAAAGGTGTCTTTCTAAATGGGTGAAATGAAACTATGGCTACTCAAAAATCACACTTTGTTTATTCTGTCTAGGTGAGGTACATTACAATCCAGGTGCTCTCATGCCACCTGATCGTGAGGCCAGATGTCCTTGGACAAGAAGAGTATCACCCGTGGATGTACAACTGCACTGTACTCAGAAGTCTAGGTTCTTACAGTGACACTCAATCTAGCTATCTCTGATATGCTGATGACTGTCTTGTTTTGTGCCTTGTACAAATTAATGCTGATATCCGTATTTATTTTAATGATATAATTAGCATTCTGAAGATGGTTACAGGGCTAAAGTCTTCTTGGAGTCATGTTGATGCAACCCCATTAACTTTAGTGGGTTCATGTACATGTATGGAGAAATTAACATACCAATGTGGGTAAGATTTTATTAAATTTGGCCCCTGTTGGTTAGTGTTCATTTGACAACGGTATGCTGCTGGGGGTCAGCATATTATACAAAGATCTCTTAATTATTTTTGCAACTGGTATACTAATTAACTAGCATCAAGACATTCAAATCAGATCCAGATACAAATGCTATGTTTAATTTATATTTAACAAAATAAAGAACACATGAAATACATTAGGTGTGGTGTTTCTAAGGGAGAATAATTCGAAACAGCCATGGATCTTATAGAAAAATCTCAAACTTTGTGGAGTTTGAGTTTTAATGGGTTTAGCAAACTATTGTTGCTTCAGTTTATGCAGTCAGCACCTTACCACTTCCTATAAAGCCTTCTTTAAAAAAAGTTTCTCTTGTTAAAATAAAGCCTATCTTAACTTTTAGTATAGTAGTATACATCACTTAATAGTCACAGAAGCTAGGATAAAAATAAAAGGTAGCTTCTCTAAGGAGAATTACTTATATTTCTCATGGAAAATATTCTCTTCTCCACCCCCAGCCCTTTCTCGCAGCCTCCTTCTGCACTCCGCTCGACCTGCTCTATTCCTTTTCTCATCTGATACTTCCAGTTCCTTTCCCCCCATCTTTCTTATAAGGATCATGTGCCCCAAATGCTCAGTTTTCAGCCATGCTTTTGTGCCATTTCAGTATTTTCAATATTTTCAGACATGGATCTCTAGGCTGAGAACTTGCCTTCTTAGGATAGAGCCTGATCAGTTTGGGAAAATGATTATATGAAGCAGCTGCCTGTGCTGGAAGGGGACTAGACTTGATAACTCAGGAAATCCCTTCCAGTTGTATGTGCTTGCTTTCAAATGTGCTGAGCTCCTGGGAACTGTGAGCACTCTTTACTTCTGGAAATAAAGGCATTTTGATTTAGAAATCTAAATCGAGATTTAGGGGCCCAATTACATGTTTGACAATATTGCCCAGCATCTTCAAGAGAAGTTTAAAATGAGGTAAAATTAAGTTTTCCTATGCCCAATAATCAGTATAACAGACATTTGAATGTCTTATGCTTGAGAATAATTAATAAATAATGCAGAGTATTGCTTCTTCCTGTCAAAAAATAATCTGTTTTATACAAAATTCTTCTGCCGTTCCTGGAGCTGACTATTGAATCCCTTCCTGAAGAAACATTTTGTCCTCAATTCATTAGGAGCTGAATGCTATTACGGTTTCTTAAAATGGCAACATTTCAGCACAGAGGCTAGAATAATATCGTTTGCTAATCCTGCCTGATAGATTAAACAACTTCCCTGCGTTGTGCAGGGCCTTATCCACCTCCTGCTCAAATC